TACCTCCTCAGTCTTTCTGAGAATAAATTTTTCCTAACACCCAACCTGAAAGCATGTCCAAGCATACACGCTGAGCACTCAGCTTACCAGCTTGCTGCCTCTTTTGTCTCAAACTGACATGAAGGCAAACTTGCCAACCTGAATGGGATTGATGCGGCACCAGGGTATTTTAGACTACTGTCTGCAGACACCTACTTGTTTCATGTACATGTAATTCACACAAGATTAAGTCACCTGCTTCATGAGCACAGGCTGCAGCGCTTTAGTCTTTGAGAGCTCATTCTGTTCTGACTCTGCTCTTAGGATACCTGCTCTTAAGTTTCCTACTCCAGTAGTTTATTCCCAAAGCCACTTGCTTAGGAGAGGGCTTTTCCTTTCTCTCAGTAGCTTATGAGTCAAGGTCTTGCTGTCCTGCATAAAAAGCAAGGACCCAAGTGTCTTTTATTGAACAACTGTTCCAGAGTGTGACTTCTAAGAGCTGCCATCCTGTTTTCCTGCTTACTTACTTCCACTCTATTTGCAGCCAGCTTGCTGGCACAGGAGTAGATACTGTTCCTTATCCTAATTAGATTTTCTTGCTTCTTAGTGTTTATTCTGGGTATGTTTAGAAAGTTGTGTTGCCCTCATTCATTGTTCTGCTAGTTTGTACAGAATTAGAAGAGAGTTACTTCCCATAGATACATTCTGTCCCTTTGATGCTGCCGGCACTAACATGAGTTGATCTGCTCAGAAGTGGCCACCTGAGCAATAAGTGATCCTCCAGGCTGTTTTAAAAGGCCACTGCTTTTTCTATAGCTCTGTTAGAAATACTTTTCACCAAAGTCATGAAATTGCCTTCACTACTTTCATGCCTGTGATGTTTTAGTGCCTTAATCCTTATATCCTTATAGAAGGAATTGTAGGGTGTTAATCCTAGAAGTTTTATGGCAAGAAACTTCATTCTATTTCTATTATTCCATGCACCAGTCACTGACTTTTTCCTTTTTCAATACCTTTCGTAACTTTTTACTGAATGTGCCTGAACACAATTTGCAGATTTCATTAGCATGCTCTATTTTTGTTCTCAAGCCATTTGTAAAAGTATTATAGATGGGTCTATTTTCAGGCTTTCCATCCCTTGACATGCCCCTTCGCAATAAGGTCTATGTAGCAGAAATACCATCTCTATTTTCCATCACCAGTCCTCAAGGGCATCACTGGAGGTTGTCTCAGGGCTAGAATCAGCTCTGCCTGGCACAACGCAGGTTAACGGCTGCAAAGAAGTTCCTAATGACTTTCAGACAGGAATTCCATTTTCCTCCGTCTTGCGGGAGGGCCTTGGAAATCTCAAGCAACTGCATACAAATTTCAGATTAACTATCCTTTACAAATGTATGCCTCATCCATTTTTGTACCCAACTCACGTTTCTCAACTCTTTCTAGTGGGCACCACAGTACAAAAAAACCCAAACAACCAAACAACCAAACAAAAACAAACAAAAAAAATCAAGAAGATGTCCAAAGGAGGCTACAGGGATGGGGAAAGAGATCTGGAGGACAAGACATATGAGGAGCAGCAGAGACCCCTGGTGTGCTCAGCCCACAGCAGAGCAGGCTGAGGGGAGGCCTGATGGTGGCCGCAGCTCCTCACAGGGAGCGGAGGGCAGCGCTGAGCTCTGCTCTGTGTGACAGCGACAGGGAACGGCATGGAGCTGCGTCAGGGGAGGGCGGCTGGGGTGAGGGAAAGGGGCTGCGCCAGAGGGCGGTGGGCATGGAACAGCTGCCCAGGGCTGTGGGCACGGCCCCAGTGCCGGAGCTCAGGGAGCGTTTGGAAGCGCTCTCAGACACAGGGTTTGATTTTGGATGGTCCTGTGTGGAGCCAGGGGTTGGACTAAGTGATCCTTATTGGTCCCTTCTGACTCAGGATATTCTGTGATCAAAACCTTCCAGACAACCCCTGTGCCAGCAGCTCAGAGCTCTGAGGTCTGACAGAACGGCTACCTCGGCACCCAGTTCTGCAGCTTTAGCTGAGGAAACTGGCCAGCAAATCCTTTCCTGCTCCACCCCTGGTTAGTCTGCACGGGACAGCTGGCTACAAAGTAGGAGGAAAGATCTTAGTGGATTAGTCTTTACTGCTCTAGAAGCGTTCAGTAAAGGCTGATAAACTGCTACATCTCCTCTATTTTCTTTCCTGTATAAGTCAGTCTAAGACAGTTTCCATTCTAACAACTAATAATGTTCTGCATGACAAAAGGGCAATAATTTTTAAATTCTAGGAAATTTAGCCTGAATTAAGTTAACAGTTTGTGCCTGTAGTTTTTCAGTTCCTCAAAATAAATCATATAATCATTAGATTTGGAAAAGACCACTAAGAATCAACCCATCCCCACCAAGCCCGTTAACCACTTCCCCCATTGCCACATCTCCACATCTCTTGAACACCCACAGGAACGGTGACTCCATCACTTCTCTGGGCAGCCTGTGCCACTGCTTCACTACTGTTTTGGAGAAGAAATGTTTCCTAATATCCAACCTGAACCTTCCCACAGACAACTTAAGGCCATTCCCTCGTCCTATCACTGTTACCTGGGAAAAGAGCTGACTCCCACCTCAACACAACCTCCCTTCAGGCACTGCAGAGAGCAATGAGGTCTCCCCTCAGCCTCCTCCAGACTGAGTGTTCCCTCAGCTGCACCCCACAAGATTTGTGCTCCAGACTTTTCACCGGCACAGACACATAATAATTGCCATACTGGATTGGACTTTACATATATCTAATACTGTGCCATATATCTAGAGCTTACAAGAATGAAATGGGACATAAATGAGCAGCTGGCTCATCTGTCCTCAGAGCAATGCCATCCGTGTCTTTAACAGATGAAAATAGACATGGAATAGGCAGAAGACATTCTAGTATTAACTTTTGGATATAGAAATATGGAATAATATTTGTGAACTTTTACCTTCCTTACACACAATTCATCTTTTTGTACTTTCTGTATTTTAAATACCTTGCCTGGAGAGGTGCTGTGCAGTCCTCTCTCTGTCAGTGCAGCCTGGTGACCCCAAGGCTCCCCCTCAAAGTACCCCCCCTCACTTTGCTCTGTCAAAACGAGACACTGAGAGAGGCTGTGCTGGGGGAGAAGTGCAGTGTGACAATATTCCACGGGGTTCCCTGGCCATCGTACCATCGCACGTGTTCTCATACTGGGCTGCATGGCTGGCAGCAGTCCTCAGTCAGCTGCCTGTGTCCATGCACAGGTGCTCTCCTTGAGATGGCCAAATTAATTTAGACCCTTTGAGCATACGTAGATAATTCATATTTTTGTCTCCAGTGTTTATTTGTATTGTATTTGTCACCGCTGAATTTTCATCTGATCTCAGGTTGTCCGTTCACATATTCCTATTAAACCTCTCTTGATTACCACAGCCTGCTCCTGGTTTTTAAGATAATTAATTTACTTGTATGATCTGCAGATTTGTTATCTAATATTTCCCTTTCCAGATGGTACTCTCTTAAACAATAATAACATTAATATACAACGCTGTAGCACCTGTTCTTAATTTCATCAGTTACAGCATAAATCTCTGTTATATTTTTTTTTAACCAGTTCCTTTCCATTTTGTCATTTCAATTCTCATTCTTAATTTCTTAAAACGTTGTCTCTAAAGTCTAAAAAAATATGAATTACTTCTCCCTTTTAGAGTATTCTATTGCAATTTTTAAGTAATACTGTGAGATTGCTGGGCCGTTTTTGTCTTGTGCAGAAAGCATGCTAGTTAAGTGTTAGCAAGCTCGGTCAAATTAGTAAGAATCGAAGAGAACGATACACTTTTTGCAGCCTTCTTTCTCTTCTTTCACAGTTAGCAGAGTATTAAAAGATTTACTGCTAAAAACCATTTCAGTGCTGATTTGTTACCAGTTGCCCATGTGTGAGGTTGTCAGTGAGTTTACATTCACCTGGTTATTCAGATGAATAGTGATAAATAAGTGATATCCATTTCTTTCTGTGGGTAAAGGCCTTAGATGTATTTAATCATAGACTCATGGAACCACCAAGGTTGGAAAAGACCTCCAAGACCATCCAGTCCAACCATACACCTATCATCAATAGTTCCCATTAAACCATATCTCTTAGTACAACATCCAGGATATCTAGGAGGGGACCACTTGAATCACAGAACGGTTTTATTTTGTGATGACCAGAAAAGCAAATACTCAATAATTTGCTTGGGCAGTCACAAACCAAACTATCGCATTGTGATGTAAGGCACTGGATCTCCTAGATGAGCATCCTTCTGTGTTTACCACTCAAAGGAATACATGTAGCAAACAATTAAATTTACTTACTGAAACTTGTTGTGATCACATCTTCCCAAACTAGGCAAGCTAAAGTTTTGGTTTGTTTGCAAATAATTTGTGGATGGAGAAAGCAACTATAAGGTTGGATTTGTGAACCAGTCTTTCTTCTTGGTGATCTGCTGGTCCCCAGGGATGTCCGTGCACAGGGTGGGACAGAGATGAGGACAGATGATCTGAAATCAGTGCATAATCTATTCCACATTGCTCTGAGCCAGGACTCCTGATGGGCTGCACTGCACTCACAAGTGTCCCTGTACTCACCTGGGGTTGGGTAGGGTTTGGTTTCAAGGTCTTGGAGGCATGCTTCATATTACATGCTTCATATTACACAGCATATGAAAAAAAAAAAACAAATTTAAAGTCTGCTTAACCCTTAATTAAAAAACATTTGTAAGCAAGCAATCAATGCAAATTTTAAAAATTGAAAGTAGTTGTCCTATGCAACCTAAAACAGTATGTGAGGGTCCTGCTTTGGATAAATGAAGGCAGTGGTCTTAATTTATAATCAATCTCTTCACATTGTTTATAGATGCTCTGAAAGTTTTTATTTGATTTGATTTGATTTCAAAACCAAATTGATATACTATTAACAATTTGCCATAGGGAAAATATTCCGAGTGGGATTTTAATTTAAGAAAACAAGAATGTCAGATTACTCATCTTCACCAGCAGAAATTCTTCATATGCAAATCACCTGACTGCTTCGTGTTATTCTGAGCTGCAGCATCTGCCAGCACATTTTTCAGTAATTCTACATGAAATGCCATTTGAAAGTGAGCATCAGAGTAAACAGTGGAACAGAGTAAGCAGACTGGAGCTGCTGAGGTAGTTGTGTTAGCCTCAGTGATGGTGCTGCTGGTGCTCTCAGAGGATGGTCGTCCTGAGGCACTAATTGCTAAGGAGGCCACAGTGCGGGAGGTTCCAGGGCAGCAGAGAAGCTGGATGTCTCTGATGCTTGGAAGTGCATGAAATGCTGACTAAAACTTGTCCTTCAGCTTGAGTTAGAGTGAGAATATGCTATCATCCAGGCATGCCTTTGAGAAGTCCTAAAACATGGTATAGATAAAGGAGGGAGAAATGCCACGTGTAAACAAGGAGGTGTGATGACTTGGATTTGGTTTGTTTCTGCTGAGCATTTGAGAGATTTACATGCCAGGCAACATGGTGAAAGAGGTTTCCTACTGGAATGTTTGAACATCTGTTACAAGCATCATACCATGACCATGCATGGTTTGCTCTGTTGCTGTTCTTTTGACAATCTCCATTCTTGAAAGACTTCAGTACAGAACTGCTTTTAGCTCTACATAGATAGAACCTACAGTCAGCAGCTCGGGTTAGAAATAGCTCATCCAGAGTGGCCTAAGTAAAACGTGCATCATTGCTAGGATGTGGAAAAAAAAAAAAAAGGGAAGAAATACATCACAGCAGGCAACAGCATTTCTGCTATCCGGAGACCCAGCGGTACAATGCGCCCCTCCCATTCCCCTGGCACGAGGATGTGCCTACACAACAAAAATGCAGTGTCGTCGTTTGGAGCTGGATGATCTCTGATGCAGAAGGCCGAGGTGATTAGGGGCAATAGAGTCGAGGCTGTGTTCATTAGCCAGGAAATGGTTATTACCAAATTGGCAGGAAATGTGCTGGAGGCCAACGTACCAACACTGACACAGACAGACATATTGGTTAGTTCACTCAGTGTCACTGAAATACTGAAACTGCAATGCCAACTTTTGTTTGAGAACAGCCAGTTGACTTCATTTTGTGTTTAATTTTAGCAAGCTCTCAAACTAAACTCACCTTTGTTTAGAGGGAGTGCATCTAATTTCTCTGCTCCATCTACTTTGGTGTAGAAGGTGCCAATGAAATGAGACTATCCACAGCACCATATGATGCTGTCCCAAGAGCAAGAGGGAGCAGGACAGAGTATAAGGATCCCTTCCAGAGCTGCCCTTGCTGGAGGCTGATTCTCACAGAATGCTGCCATGACACTATTCAGAGAGAAGTGACATCCCAGGGCAGGATGCTCCTTTCCACCTTCATTCACAAAGCAGTTTTGGCAGAACACTCCATCCTGTGTGCTAGAGCCATGCAAACTTCTCGGCTCAGCCTCCACAACCCATTTTGCTCAGTTCCCAGACTCTGCAGGTAAACTTATCCATGAGCAAGGCTGAAGCTCATACATTTTATGAGTATGGACAGGTCATGTGGGCAGCATCACCCCAAAACTATGCTCCACATAGGGAAAGAGCAGAGTAGGGCTGACTCACTTATCAGCAGCAGTCCCCAAAGAAGGAGAGTGATTCATCTAGTTCCTCTGGCAAGAAGATGCTCTTTCCAGGTGTTTTGTTGTTGTTGTTGTTGTTTTTTGTTTTGTTTCTTCAAATGTTTTGCTGTTGGTAGTTATTCAAACAAGGGATTGCCTTACAGTCAACTTGACAAGTGGATGCTCTCCTGAAAACAAAGCAAGATTAAAAAACAGGTATCTGTGCCACTTGTCAAACTTCTCTGTAAGACTTCACTTGTTTGTCTACAGCTTCAGTAGTAGACTTCAGTTCGACCTGGTAGACTTCAGAGTAAATTAAGCTGTGAGAAATGATCCAGTCTATGCAACTGTCACGGAGCTGACCAGATCAATCTATGTCCGTGACAGGGGCGACAGGCCTCTGCCCTCCCCCCCCACCCCAGTCCCACAAAAATGGGAAGGAAGGAAGGGAGGAAAAGAGCAGCGGCAACGATCTATGGAGGAAAACTTATTATACTATAATATTGGAGTACAAGATAACACAATATATACAATTTAATTGAAATTGAGATTAATAAATCAGACAAGATGAGAGAGAGAGTTCCCGGGACCGAGTCAAACCTGAAAAGCTTGGAACGGCTAGGAAAGCACCCTCAAACACCCACTGCAAGGCAGGAAGAGAGCGCCCCCCCCCCCCACCCGGAAGGGCCAGATCCTGTGACTGCTGTAATGTACAGGGATAGGTAGCTGGGATTGGGGCAGTGACACTTTAATGCCCCGTACACTACATGATGTTTTGATGTGGAATACTGAAACCATAAAAAACAAAAACAAAAACATAGAACCATGACAGCAACAATGGGAACAATGCATCAGAGTAATACATGGCTGCCCAGAGAAGCTGTGGATGCCCCATCCCTGGAGGCACTCAAGGCCAGGCCTCTTGGGCTCCTGGGCAAACATGATGCCCATGACAGCGGGGATTAGAAGCAGATGATCTTTGAGGTCCCTTCCCAAGCCATTCTATGATATGATTCTATGGTATAACGGAGTTCATTTCAAGGTGAAATTCAGGAAAATTAAGAAAAAAACAAAAACAAAAACTTTTAAAAAACTGTTCTTAAATAATTGGAAAACTCTAGAAGACAAAGAGTTTACGGTTGCTTACAGAAGTGTACATCTTTTTTTAAGCCCCTGTTGATGTGACAATTGCCTTGGCTCTGGCTCACAGGAAGGCAGGCTGCAGGTGCTCTCACTCTTTTGCCAAAATGTGCAGCGGTGGAAAATCCCCATCCCAGTTCCAAAGGCCCATCGCCTCTGACATCACTATTTTCACTCCCTTGAATGATGGTACAGCAGTTTGGGGTGTTGTGCTCCAACATGAGGATGGTGACTCTGCCTGTGGCAGCCTTCCAGGCTCAGAGAGGCTGGATATCGTGCAAAGTTTCAGTTTTAATTTAGCATTTCTGTGCAGTTGTTTTAAAACTATGAGGCAGTTAAGTTGGAAATCTGAAAAGTTTCTAAAATCTACCTGAAGGGATAAAAAAAAGATGAGTTTTTCTTTTCAATTCCACCAGGCTGCTACTGGGACCTGACTCACGTGGCAGTGCTGGCAGGCCTTGCCCAGTCTGCACCAGATGTAACCAGGTATTACACAGTCTCCTGCATTTTAAAGTATCTAAAATACTGTCAGTAAGTCAAAAGGGTTGAGGGAGGCTCAAGTTGTTCTTTTAAACCCAACGATGTGGACTCATCGCCTGGTTCAGTCTCACCACAAGATGGCCCCAGCATTAAGGCACTGCTTGTCGAGTCCCGTGCGTATCGTCAAGCGTTCCTGCGAGAAGCATCTTTCCCGTGCTATCGGGCCTCTGTGAAACAAACAACCCTTAGCTCCATAGTGGTTTAATTCTACACACCAAGCACTCTGCCCAGCTCATGAGGCTGTCAGCACACACAGTTACATGCTCTTCTCTGCCTCGTTGGTTGTGGTTGGGTGACATCTGACGTAAACAGATTCAGAATGAAAACTGAGTACTTCATCCACAGATTTCTGGAAGGTGAAGGCTGGCTGTGGAGCTCATAGAATCATATAACCATTGAGATTGGAAATGACCACTAAGATCATCCAGTCCAACCATTAACGCATCCCCACCATGCCCACTGACCACATCCCTCAGTGCCACATCTCCACATCTCTTGAACACCTCCAGGGACAGTGACTCATGTGCAGGACACCAACCCGAGAGATTAAATTATGCTTCCTGAACAATTTTCCACTCCTTGGCTGCTGGACTGGGAACACTTAGGTCAGCAGCTATTAAGGTTAGCACTTAATCTAGTGAGTTCATGGGATGCTCTCAGCTCTCATTAGCACCAGCAGCTCTGAGGACATTCAGGTCTCAAGCAGAAAGATAGCCACAAACAGATTAATGAAGAGGACTACAGTGCCTGAACTTGTGGTGTCATTTGTATGCTACAGGCTTAAATGACATCGGTAGATCCCATAATAATTCTTAAAGTGAGGTGAGTGTTTGATTAGAACTGTATACCAAAAATATTTTTGCCAATGGAGTCACCTGAGATAGCTAAATTTACCAATGAGAAAAAGAGCAAGAAACACCAATTTGGTTCCTCTGGCCAGAGAGTTGCTTCTGCTCATGGATGGTAACCATCCCAAACCCAGCTTCCTGGCCTGCAAACAAACAGGAAGATGCTTTGCTTGAGCGCTGTCAGTAGGCTGGTGGCTGAAGGGTCCACTGCTAGGTGGGACAGTGGCTCCTGCTGGACCTCTGCATCCTCTGGGGACAGAAGATTTCTTGTCCCTTTGTGACAGCCTGTCTCATCAGACTGCTGAGGGTCTGGCCATGGAAACTCTTAATTTCACCAAAATTTATTGCTTTGGAGCAGAAACCTCTCCCTACAATTCCAGTCCACTACTCCAAAGAGCACAGTGGTGGCAATTAGTCACCATTTGCTATATCTAACAAAGTGGGCCTTACTAGTCAGCTACACAGCCCGTTATCTAGGTTGGGAATCTCATTTTGTGCCAACCTGGCATCAGCTTGCAGAAAGACCCTCGGCAGCTTGTAAGGAGTAGGGTAAGGTTTGGTGTTTGAGTGTCTATGCCCCATGAAATCAAGGATCTCACGGGATTTTGGCTCGCCAGGGCAACCTGAAGGCTGCCAGAACTGGATATCTTGTGGCAAGAGGTAACTAAGAACTTGGTTACATCCAAGCACCTTTCAGGAACTGGATTTCTCCTCTGTTCAAAGATTGACACCTGAGACATCCATCCATCAACCCACTGCTCAAGTGCTAGGGAGAGCTGCGGTGGAGAGCAGAAGTAATCCTAGTGGCAAGACTTGGTGTCTCTTCTGTGTAACACTGGGGATAAAAGTGAATGGCACATTGGAGGAATCGCACAGCAACATGTTTTCTGACCCTGCATCTCCCCTCATTTCACTTTTTGTCCACTAATACCAAGTGTGAAAGAGGAAGCAAAGCATGCTGTCGGTGACCAGTTTTCCCCAAAATTCCCCACTGTTCCCATAGTGGCTGCCTCTTCTGCTTACAGGGGCTGATCAGTCACAGGTGCCCCATGCACAGCTCCAAAGGGAAATGCCTCACCTTTAACTCATATCCCAGGGCTTCACATTAAACTAGAAGATGATTGGCAAAGACACAGTTGTTCTTTCATGTCTTTTCCCTGGGCTTCAAGCATCCTTTCTCTGCCCCTGCGTTTCCACTCCTTATCCTGGGACGTTTACCACTGTCTGCTCTGTCAGATTCTGGTGTCACCCCTGTGAGCACTTACTGCTGTTACTCACTTTAAAAATAAATCCACACACCGGGGGAGAGAGTCTTAACAGAAGCACCATATGTTCATCTTAACAAAAGCACATATTAACTCTGGGCTTCCCAGTGCAGGAGAAAACCATCAGAAAATCAGGCTGGGGAAACTGCATACACCTTGTGCTATTCTGCCTGGTGTTCTGCAAGCAATTAAAATGCCAACAGATCGCCAACAGTATGGGCTTGTGATCCACAGAGTGCTTCAGGGCCCAAGGGAACCGTAGAGGAGTGGAGAGACAGCAAACTGTCAGTGACTGAAGTTCTCCATAGACAAACCGCTGTGAATTGCAAAGAGGGAAGGAAACAACATTTGGGGTTTGGGGTATAGTAGGACATAATGCCGTAACACCATCCCATCAGTGAGCTCCCTCAGCTGAGATAACTGGGAAGCTGTTGGCAGAGCAGTAATTATCACGCCCGAAAGAGGGCAGCAGACAAATTCCAATGGCCGATTTCATGGCACAATAAAAAAATGGTTTCTGGCAATGACAACTGCTGTTTCAAGTAGCTCGGTAGCTGGGAGCTGTGCCAGAGCCCGACAACAGAATTTTACTGGTGTTTCTCAAAAGGAACTCCAGCCTAATTATATATGTTGACAGTCAGAAAATGCAAAGTAACATTTACATTCATAATAAAGGGATGGGGATGCCTTGTGCAGTAGTGCAAATCTTCTAATTTAAGTCAGTCATTTATCTGCAAAAGGAACTTAAACATGTCAGGCAGGAGGATAAAAAGCCAGGGATGTGCAACATTCCTCACCGAGGCCCATCCACACCACAGCACCACTCTTCCTTGAGAAGGAACACTGAAGTTACTCCTGAGCCCAACCAGCACCGTTTTCTGCCTCCTGCTGGGCACAGCTCTCCTTCACTTTCCCCACTGGTCAAAGGGGCCCCAGCAGCCCCAGCCTACCCTTGGGCTCAGGGCAGCCACTGTGCTGAACTTAGGTTGGGCAGCCTGGGTCTACCCCAGGTCACCTCAAGGTGTCCTACAGCTTGGGAGGAGGAGGCACCAGGGCAGGAATGTGCTGGCAGCAACTCACTCTGCTTTGGCAGAACCGCTTATTAAAATCAGCTGATTACTGAACGAGCTGTTAAAAATCCCTCCAAGCAATCTCCACATGAAACAATTACATTTTTGCAGCTTCCAGTCAAGTTTCTCACCTGCACAGGAGATTTTAGACTCAACTTTATGGAACCTGAACACCAGGTGAAAGCCATCGACACAACACTGCTGCACTGTCTCTCAACAAACCCATGCCAGGGCATTGCCTCAGCCCTGCTCCAAGGCTTTCACTGTGACTTTGAGTAATTAGGCTTCAAGGTCATTTGCATTAATTAACAAGGCCAGGAGCAAGATTTGCATTAATTAACAAGGCCAGGAGCAAGACTTGCAAGTGTGGAATTGGCTTTTGATGACCACGACTGTTTCAGCTGGGTACACCTGGAGCCCCTCTTTAAACCATAGAATCATATCACAGAATGGCTTGGGTTGGAAGGGGCCTTAAACATCACCCAGTTCCAATGCCCTGCTGTAGGCAGGATTACCAGCCAGCAGGCCAGACTTCCCAGGGCCTCATCCAACCTGCTCTTGAGTGCCTGCAGGGATGGAACATCATCATTAGCAGTTTCTGGGAACAGAAAAGACAGAGGAGCCCCAGAACAGTCCTTCCTGAGGGCTTCATGTGCCGTGCTCAGCCTGAGTGTGCTCAACATGTACAGAAGCCTTCTGGTACCTCTCAGGAGCCAGAGTCAGTTCCTGGTCTGTTCTTCTCAAGTCAGGAATGGCCGTTGTTCCCCACTGCACTCCCATCAACATGCTCACTCCTTCCAACTCACTAAAGCTGGCATTCGGTCAGCATGTCTTAAACGAACTGGCCTTGAAAAGCTTTCACATCACCACCTTGTCTTGTGTGTATGTTGCTTTTTATCTTGCATTGTGAAAAGGTGCCCTACAGTTTAGTTTGAAAACAACAACAAAATGTCCCTGTGTTGCTTCAAACGCACAACCCCTCCCGACACCAATTCCAGCGATCAACCATTACCCTGAGCAGAACCACCGTAGAGAAAAAAATTGCAAAACAGCAAACCACATGCTTTGATTTCTGTAAATTAAAGCAAAGTGTGCATAAAGGGGTGCCAACTCCCCACCTATGAGCCTGGGTGATGAGCTCTTGTCTCGCGGGAGCACTTCACAAAGATGCTCATGGCTGGGCTCCTCTGTAGAAGGTCCACCACAGCCACAGGCACTGCGTGCCCTGGAGAATTTCCTAGCACAGGACATCCTCCACCAAGGATGGATTAGACACCCGTGCAGTCACCAACCTCTGCACGACCTTTTCTGTGAACCATCCCTACGCCTAATGGGACACAGGTCAGGACAGGCTGCCCAGGGAGATGGTGGAGACATCAACCCTGGAGGTGCTCCACAAATGTGGAGATGTGGCTGTGAGGGACGTGGTTTGGAGTGGTCACAGGCGGGGGTTGATGGTTGGACTGGATGATCTTAGTGGCCACTGCAACCTTCATGATGCCATGATTCTGAAGACAGATGACATCAGCATTCCATGGAAGAAAAGGATGTCAATTAAGCTCATTTTTATCCCAGCTATTATTCAGTTTGACCTCTTCTGTTATTTTTAGAGCTGATTTTAATTGGCAGGTCCTGATATGTGGGAAGTTGAACATCAAAAAATATATATCCTTTGATCTTAAATTGGAACATGCGGCTGGAAATTTCCAAGAAATTATATTTCCAAAATCTGCTCTGGAAACATCAAAATGACTTATTCACAGCTTTCATTTTTATTTCCTGGCTTTTTAATACTTTTTTATTGTGATTTTTGGACACACCTTTTTTTATCTTTTTTTTTTTTTTTGAAGTATGATTGTAAATATATGAGTAAGTTTCTCCCTAAACCTTTCCATTTTTGTCAAACCAACATTTGAGATTTTAAAAGCATTTTCATTGAGAAAAAAAACAATAAAACCCACCAATCACCAATCTCTGGATTTGCATCTTTCTGCCCCCATGACTTCTTCAGCAACACAAGCAGCGTTCCCTGAGGGAAACAGCCCGCCAACACCGGCTCCCTGAGAATGGAAAAACAACTTTCTTCTGGGAGATATTTGCTGTTATTTCTAAAATTCCTCTGGAACTGTAGAATCATTACGGTTGGAAACCATCTCTACGACCCTTCGGTCCAACCATCAACCCTCCCCACCATGCCCACTGACCACGTCCCTCAGTGCCACATCTCCACGTTTCTTGAGCACCACCAGGGACGGTGACTGCAGCGCCTCCTGGGCAGCCTGTGCCACTGCCTCACCACACCTCTGGGGAAAACACTTATCCCAAGAGAATTTTCTTCTACAGTGAAGCACGTGGGGGCAGAGCACAGCAATGTCAATGTTACGGTCCTGTCCACAGCCAGGATGAAGGATGGGGAAGCTGAACACAGAAAAGCATTGCTCCTGCTGTTGGGTGCTCTGTCCCACACAGCAGAAGTTACCATCATCTCTACCAGTGCTTGGCCATGAGCCTGGCACTCACACAAGTCAGATTGTAAGGACAGCCTGGCCTGGTGTAGAGATCACTAATGAGACCACGTGGCAACCATGACAAGCAGCCGAGATACAAACGCTGCTAGAGGTAATTTCATTTTCAGACTTTGCACTACTGAACAGAACTTAATAGAAACATAGTATCTTAGAAGGTTTTGAGTTGGAAGGGACCAAAAAGCCCACCCAGCCCCAAAGCCCTGCCATGGGCAGGGCTGCCACCCACCAGCTGAGGCTGCCAGGGCCCCATCCAACCTGGCTTCAAATGCCTCCAGGAACGGAGCACCCATGCTCTCTGGACTCTGTGCCGATGCCTCACTGCCCTCACAGTGAAGAATTTCTCCCTTATGCCCAATCTGAACCTACTCTCTTTCAGTCTGGCAAAAATTCTTTCTCCATCTTCTGCACAACCTCCCTCTGTGCACTGAGAAGCCACAATGAGTTCTCCCTGGATTGCAGTCTGAAGAAACCCAGCTCCCTCAGCCTGTCTTCACAGCACAGGCACTCAGCTTTCTGAGCATTTTCGTGGCCCTCCTCTGGGCCCACCCTAACAGGTCCATATCCTTATGCTGGGGCCGTGCAGCTGGATGCAGTATCCAGGTGTGGTCCTATGCCAGGGACTGTAACTCTTCCGATGTACACAAAGCCATCAGTGCTCTCTTTGGGATGAAGCAGGGTTGTGCAGACACCCATTAACCTCAAGGTGACTAAAGGACTTGGTACATGCTTAACAGATATGCTTACCTGCAGGTGTATGCGTGTGTCCCCTCAGCAATGTCACTGTGGTTCTTCCCCACACAGCACGATGCTGGGACTGTAGGCCCAGCTTGCTCTATGCACACATCTGCAGGCTGTCTCCCACCCAGCAGCACTCTTGGAATGGGACATCTTATGCTGTGTGCTCCCCCCAAAACCCCATGAACATCCCAAGGCAACCACTCGCAGTGCAGCACGGTTGGAACAGCTCTGAAGGCTTTTTCCCATCTCCCATTCTCGACCATCAGCTGTCTCCCCCTCCTCACATGCCTCGTACACATACAGTCCCCTCTTTATTTTAAGGAGGGCCACATGCCTGGGGCTGTTCTGCTAACAGCAGTTTCCTCTGATATGCAGAAGCCAGAAGATGTAGTCATGGGCATTTTCCGCCTTGCTGAAGGACAGTCAGTGCATCAATTAGCTCACGTGAATTTCAACTGCCCGCATCACTGGGCTTCTGCTGGACTTGGAGCTAATGCAGTCTTTGCAGGTGATCTCAGCTTTGTGGATCAGATCCTCAGTTTATTTCCATTAGCAGTCATGATAATGAGCCCAGGTCTCTGTTTTTACCAACGCTGTTCAGGGCACATTCGCTGCTCAGACCAAAAACCAGAGGAAGTCACAACTTCCATGTTCGTGCTGCAGCAGATTTCTTTGCCAGGAAAAACATTTTTACACATTTTTTTGTGTTTTAACGGTTGCTATTCCTACATTATCTATTCCTGAGATTATTTCCTGTGGGAAAGATTTAATACTTTTAATTCTAATAATATTTTTAGTAGCAGTTGCTATTTTCTGCCAAAGATTCTGTATTTTGGGATGGAATCGAATTGTATGCTCTAAATGTCTCTTCCCATAGCAATTTCCTTAGGAAAGCTTTCAGAGCAGTTAATTCATACCTCATAAGCTACAGGGAAGAGAAGAGAATTTTCTGAAGTCTATGAGACCGATTTTCCACTCAGCTCCAGGCGATGGCCCCACTTCTTGCATGGCTAATCCTGTTCTTACGTTTCCATTTGAAAGCCAAATGCTTTTTTCCCTCATTTAGTTTAAGTTATTCAGGCTAGGTGGTAACTTCTTAGCTTGTGACTGCTGCAGGTAGTTCTTTCTCCCTGAACCAGGAATAATATGCTTACCAAGAGCTGCTGCTGTTTCTTGGCCCCAGAGAACACAGAGATGAGAGGCTGCAGAAGCCCTTTTTTCTTTTAAAACGAGAGGTTTGCTGTTTTGTTTTTTAAAATCAAAAAAATGGAAGTGACACAACTGAAAACGTTTTTGCAGGAAGTTCAACGAGAATGCCTGGAGCCAGCCCTAATGCGTGCTGCACAGCTACCTGGCCACGTGCCTTCACACTTACTTCAGTTTCCCCTGAGGTGGATGAGAAGGTGTGAGCCTTCTGGAGATGGTGCCTGATCAGCTGAAAGGATGTAACTTCCAGTTCAGCTCTTCACTGGGTGACATGGCAGTAGATGTTCCTTGCAGTACAGATGCTGAACAAGCAGTCTATCAGGTATGGAATCACCACTTCTTTTTGGTCTTGTTTTGCTTAATTGCAAAGATTCTGCACTTGAAGGTGAGTTACTTACCTCTAAGAGCAGGAAGGAAGCACACCTCCAAATGGCTGCTCCAAAGAACTGCTGCTGTGAAAGTGACAGCGTTGAATTCCATGCCATACACTTTGTTGTATCAAAATTGCCTTAATGTGCCCAGAAATCCTACACCAAATGCTACGAAGACGTGAGATTTGGATCTTGTGCTTGTAGCTCAAACCCATCACTAACATTACAAAACAGAGCCTTTAAAAATTCCACTTTAAAATAGGCAGAAATGATCCTTTTCAAGAACACATAATGCAGCTTAGATTTTGATTCAGATTTTTAATAAATTGTGCCAGTAGAAGCTTTCAAAGGCAATGATATATCAATAAATAACAGTTAAACTGAGTTCCTGAGAAAGAACCTACCACATGAAAGAATGTCAAATAGATGTAAATAACAAAAAATGGCATTACTATATAAAAAAGCAGTAATACTGAACCTTACATGAACTGTCACAACACAAGCACTGCATACCTCAGAACATTCCTTTCATACAAATGTAAACAAATACACAATCATTTTTGTTTAGTTTAGGCTGATGAATTTATATGATGTTGCTTAGATATCTAAACACTGGATAGGATAGGATATGCTAAAACATTAAGGAATAATATGTGGACCAATATATGGAAAAAAAAACGAAGTTCCAGATTAGAAAAAAAAAAAAGAAGCAAAAACACATAAAGGAGTGTTTTCCTCACATGTTACGATGTCAATCATTTTAAATAGGACTGTTACACTCATTTGAATTAAGGATTTTTTCTGTGTGTTTACTTACTTATATATAATATATGCAAATACGTATGGCTTAATTACTTTAGTATTCTGATATCATCTCAAATAATTCTCACTTATACATATAAGAAAAACGCATATTTTAACATAGTTAAGATTGATATTTCAAAGTAAGTCTACAATCCGACAGAAACAAAGGACTGTTGTGCTCCACCACAGCAACGTTCTCTAGAGACAGGAGGGCAGAACGACCTGTCAGCAACAGCAGCACCGCGATCCTGCAGCCACACACAGGCGGCCCTGCGAGAGATGCGCAGGCTGGAAAAGCCGCGTCCCTGCACGAACTCAGGGTCTCTGCTACAGCAGCACAGCTTGACCCCTTCTGTTCTGAGGACACCGAGCTCCACGCTGGCACTGCTGCTCTGCGTTACGGACAGCACTAAGCAAGGAAGGCTGTGCTGCACGCTGTGTGAAGGGGTCAGAGCCGGCCTGCTGCCACCAATCTGCCCCCTGCCAGCAGTCGTGCTATCGATCCTTGGTGGGGCAGTGTGTGCGCCCACGACAGATGCTTACTCCAGTGATCCGCTGCGTCAGACCACAAAATGACAATTCGGTTCTAAACGTTGCAATCTGTTTTACAAAATTAGTACTGGATACAATCGTAAGAAGAAACCATCCACACGATGCATTATCAACACATGGTTTAAAACGGTCTGATTTCAGACCCTCAGAAAAAACGGATCCACAGGACCTGCCTGTGAATGGCAAGAAAAGGCCATTTCAAATAGAAAAACACTGCTCATGCAACATTCTTCACACGCTAGACAATGAAATCACACCCAAATAGTCGCCTGCTCACACTTTCTATTACATTCCAACAAGCAGAAGGAAATCAAGCAGCTTTAAGGTTACGTCACAATTTTGAAATGTGGAAAATACATATAATAAACAAAAATCGTGGTGCGAATATAATGGCGTCAGTAAATTAAGAAAATTAGAGAGCTGATTTTTTTGTTTGGGTTTTTTTTCTTTTTTTTTTTCTTCCTTTTTTCCTTTCTTACATTATTGCACAGAGACCTTTCATCACACGCTCTTCAGCTTTGCGCGTTTTCCTAAATGTGAAATAAGTGCTATGGATAAAATAAAAATGTAGAAAAGAAGAACAGCAGCATGATTTGTCAAAGTTAATCCCTATAATTTAGTAGGAAAAAAAACACCCTGCTATAAACAAAATATAAGTGCTCTTTATTCATTTAAAAAATAATGCTGACAGATGCAGAAATCTGTAAATTTATCTGAGTAGGGGGGTGCTGACCTCAAATAACAACAGGCCTAGAAATGATAGACTTCTGGCCTTGCAGATTTTGGTGAAGACCAGGACTTCAAGTGTAATCATCAACAAAGCTATTTACAGTAAAACTGACCTGAACTTCCAAGAGTGCCGTTTTTAGGACCTGGCCTTGCAAGTTTCTGACTCCCCAGGATGACTTCAGCTTCATCTGATGTTAGACATGAACAAGCACTGCAGGATCAGCTCCCAAAGGATCAGTTAAAGGCCCAACTGGATTTGAGATTAGTCTTACCTGGAGTACTCTATACAATAATTTACACATATACAGGTTGACAAGCTCCAGTCTGATCCACCATGTCTTTGTCCTCTACGCTGGATTTCTCAGACTGGCCAACTTCCATCCCGGAAGGTTTGGGATACCTGAATGGATAGCCGTTGTCATCGAAGAACCTTCGGAAAGTGAACTCATAGAAGGCATGCTCGGTGTGCTTGCTGTTGGAAGAAGCCAATGGATCCCACGTCCTGGTGCTGTCACCACTAGCATCGTTCCAAGGGCTTTCCTCTTCAACTGGATCAAAATTTGAAGTGTCCATTGGATGGCTGATCTTTGGAACATAGGGAGCAGGCTGCCTACGGATATCGGCAGAGAAGTCCATAGAGTGAAAGAAAGAATGGGCCTTAATATCATCTGCTCCATTTCTTCCAAGCCTGTCCTCAGCTGCACAGCACAACTTTGTGATGAGATCCGTTGCTTCAGGGCTTAGCTTGATCTGTGTGGGGATGTGCAGTGTGCTTTCCCAATTTATCACCTGAAGAGAGAATGGTATTAAACAACAACTAATCCTAGAAGCAGAAACCTTCTGATCCTTTTGTCAAGACTAACTGTAGAAAAGCATACACGAAACTAGTCCACTCACATCCTGTTCAATTATTTTAGAGGTTCAAGAACCCAACGATTAAATAGCATCAGCTGTTAAAATACTTCTTAAACAAATCAAGAAATGTCAGAGAACAAATAGAAGAAGCAATTACATTTTAAAAAAAGACAATTAGTTCATGGAATGACTTCCATGACGTTGCTTCATTCAGTCTCCAAATTGTAGGAAATTGGTTATGAGATATGTTCATTCTAATAAAAACTACTGACTGCTTAACATTGAAATTCTCACATTGCCATCTGACATTATAATTATTCTATCAGCTTACTCAAATCTGATATGCACACTAAATAATTGATATGGATGAGCCTGTGCTCCAGAAACCAAAATTATGCAGAAAAGGTTCATAAAACTAGCAACTATCTATGCAACTGGACAAGTCAGTTCTGGTTTGACAATCAGCATCTTCACTGATTGCAAAAGGTTTTGTCCCTGCATAGGACTATTTAAAATCAAGCTTTCATAACAACAGCTCTTTTCTCCAATACAAGAGGGATGTGTCTGTACGTGGTGGAGAAAAGATGGAAAAGGTTAAAATTTTGCTACCACAGGAATTCCACTTACCTTCAGTTGGGTTTCTGTGGGTGTAGGAGCCAGAAAAGGAGGCTGTCCCACTAACATCTCAAAGAGGATCACACCAACACTCCACCAGTCACAGAGCTGGGTGTATCCTGAAAGGCAAGTCAAAAGGTTGTCCTCCACCAGTCACAGAGAGTCTGCACAGAGCTACTATTTCCTCTTGCAATTGAAGATCAAAACTGCAACATCGACTTTTACTTTGCCTCAAACAAGTGACCCAAAACCAAAGGACTCCTGATCCAACTTCATCATAAAATGCTTCTTCCTGCTGGTATAAATTCTAGTGTTGTCAGTAAAGATCTCATACTGTTGTCTGGGAAGCATTCTCAATATATTTCATTCTCAATAACAGTAAGTGGGGAAACCACATAATTAGGAAGAATGAGCTATTTTTTGTGTTTGTTTGTTTGTTTTTCTTCACGACCCATCCAACAGTTCTACCACTTCACAGCATAAAGTGGCCCTCAAAGGACTCAGTGACGTACTTAATGACCAATGTCCCCCTCCAGGTTCAGTGGAGCTGACATTAGGGTTTTAGAAGCTGCTGAAAGACAAAGCCAGACTAGAGATAAAGATGACTTTGAGCAAGTTCTAAGCAGAGTAACAAGTTAAATCACTTAATTGTTCAGACAAACAAAGTAAGATACAGCTTTGAGATCTTCAAAAGGAATTGAACCCTGCATTCAATGAATTCTGTTACTAGAATTCTGTATTCTGTAGAATCTAACCTGAAATCTCTAGAAATGCAAAAGTGTAGAGATAAGCCTCAAGGTCAGGGTTGCAGACAACTCTGAACATCTAATCTGCTTACTATAGTTTAACATGTCTGTTTGTCATGAATAGTCACAGAGTATTGTTTACATTCCACAAGCACAGCTTTTAGGTGTAGTATGTCCAGGGTAACTTGGGTAAGACTTTATTTTGTTTCCTCAAGATTCTGACTGGGAATCTGAAGAATATGTATCCACAAGTTTTTATCAGCTATACTGCAGTGATCCATCTCAACAGGTGATTCTAAACAATCAGATGGCTACTTGCTGCTATTTGTAAACTCACTAGCGGTCACGGTCTACGAGTACAGATAACTGGCTTTAAACTTGAGAAACACCACTGCCAATGACATCTGACATGTTAGAGTCCCCATCAAAGGCCTCAGAGTGAAGAGATATGGAGACAGACAAAGCGCAATCACCTTTAATGTCAGCATTGTGAAGCTAATCAGCAGAGCATGCACAGAAATCTGTTCTCCTTAATCTGAGCGTCTATGGACTTCAGAATGACAAACTTCCACAGCAGCAAATTAAGGAGAAAAAAGAAAAAAGAAAAAAAAAAAAAAGAATTTCACAATATTGATGATTATTTAAACAGGAGATAAATAGACATTATCTACCTTTACGAAGCAGGACTTCAGGAGCAATGTAATTAGGGGTTCCGACTAATGAGTGGGCTAGACATCTCTGATGTTGCTTCTTAGCTCTTTGTTCCAATGTCTTCAGCCTATCTCCACATCTACAATTGGACACATCATCCCAAAGATCACTGGGCTCCATGCTGTCCTGTCTGATGTGACTCCCTTTCAAGTGGGAGAGAAAATTTACAGTTACAGACATAAAACACAACATGCAAAGAGAAAAGCATTTATCCAGATTTAGTTTGCCATCTTCTAACATCACTGAAGAACAGCACCTGAACTCTAAATCCAAGGCAATGTCTTCTGCCTCCTTTCCAATTGGCTTTCCATAAGCAGCAGAATGTCTCTGTCTCCACACAGGGAAGCATGCTCCCATCCATACAGGAGACAGAGAATATATTTAGATCAACTGTACCAATTGTTCGTGACCTTTTTGCTGACATATTCCAGTTCTCCTCGATGGCGTGCACAAGAGGTACCTGGATTAGTTTAATTCTTTCACTACCAACAGAGACCCTCCAAACAAATATGAACTGAAAAACTGCTGCCACTGCAGCATCCAGCCAAATTACTGTCAGGGATTTGAAGTGTTGGAAACAAAAGACTAGAAAGAGACAGACAGAATGAGTAAGACAAACCCATCGTAATTTCCTGACATTTCTGCCAAGAGGTAACTTTGTTTCAAGATAAGAAGTGCAAATAAAGGCTAGGAACACTAACCTTTCTGGTAGTATTTTGAATTGTGAGTCCACCTGAATCCCGTACACAGTCCGAAGTCGGTCAGTTTGATATGCCCATCGAGGTCGATCAGAATGTTGTCAGGCTTGATGTCTCTATGAATAAAACCCATTTTGTGCACGCTCTCAATAGCCAAAGTGAGCTCTGCAATATAAAATCTAGCAAGACGCTCTGGAAAGACCTCCATCCGAATCAGCAGACTCATCATATCCCCACCAGGGATGTAGTCCATTACAAAGTACAAGTTCTCTTTATCTTGGAAGGAATAATAGAGTTTAACCACCCACTCGTTGTCTGCCTCAGCAAGAATGTCCCTTTCTGCTTTGACATGAGCCACCTGGTTCCGGTTCAGTACATCCTTCTTACGCAGAGTTTTCATGGCATACAGGGCATGAGTATCCACTTTGCAGGCCAGGCATACTTCTCCAAAGGCACCAATGCCCAGTGTCTTGATCTTCACAAACATAGATTTGTCCATTTTGGCCCTTTTAAGCCTGTTGTAGTTGGACTCCTTCTGGTAGAGAATTTTCCTCATTTGTTCCTGTTCTGCTTCGCAAAGGCCTGCCTTTAAAAGGGAAAGCAAACCACGACAGCCAGTAAGATTATATTCATTGCAATAGAACAATAAACTAGCATTCCCAAAAAACATTTCTCAGAAAAAGTAATCTAGAACTAGATAAGATATTGAAAACAGTCAGCATCTGGTCTGTCAAGGTGTTTCATTTGCCATACCTTGCTACCTGAATCTAAGATTGCTACATGTTTCTCATTCTCCTGAACTACTATTGGTTATTGGGCAATACTGTCAGGGGAACAGAACAGAACAGATCTGATTGCAGGATTTGGTTTTTAACTCTCAGCTGTGCACTTCACCAATACACTCCACTACGTGTATGCACAGTGCAGCACAACTTAAACTGAGATGCAGAAGCCCATTGGTTCATTAATAGCTCCCCAGAGCAATTCACATGAAACCTTCCTACCTAGCACTTGTCTTTTTCATAGCAATTCAGAAACTATTTTTGACAAAGTATCTCGGGAACCCTCTTTCTCCAAAACCATTTTTCTTCCTCTGTCATACAGAGCCCCTGCTCTCACACTTGGCAGATCCCTATCTTCCAAAATATACGTATATAACCCTCAGCTCTGGCCTCCTCCCAGACACTGAGATCCAGGTCCTATTTCTCTTTTAAGGGTAATTTTTCCCTTTGAACCTGCACAGTAACAAAGCTGGCTTGTCCAGGCACCATCTGTCCCCACAGAGTCTTAAAGTAATTAAAAGTATTTTTACATGTAATTTCACATGGCTGAAGGTGAACATCTCCTGGAAAAGCAGAGAAGTACCCAGCTGGACTTTCCTCAGGCTTCAAGATAGAGCCTGCACAATTTTGCCTTCAGTGCTTGTCTGAGAATGCTGGCAGCCTTCACCAGCAGAAGCCCCTGGGCTGACTTCCAGGATCCTCTGAGAACTCCCTCTCCACAGCAGACCCCTTCCTTTTGAATAACCCAGATCTTGAACTAAGTGAAGCATTCTGAGAGGAAGATTAGTGAGTGATAGGAAGAGGCAATGGGGGCTGGAGATGAAGCTGACTGAGGAGCAGGCTAAAGATCCAAATACTGACCCACAAGGCTGCTGGTTTGACTGATTTTTTCCATTTCACACCTGCAGTCGAGGCCATTAAAGATAAAAAGTGGGCAGCTGGACTACACAGCAAATCCCCACAGCTTAAAAACAAAATCCATATGAATAAAGGATGAAGGAGGTAAAAAAAACCTCACAGAATAGGTAGGGTACCTCAATCCATAATAGAAGAAGCATTTATTGTTTTAATGCAAAACAATTAGTGTGTTGCATTCTTGGTTAATTCTGGAATAATGTGATATTCAGATGGCCAAAATCTCTTGAGTTTGTGGTGTGTTATTCCAGCCAGAGATGAGGTTGCTAGGGGAAGGAGCTGTTTTTGTTTATAGTTATCTCTGAGTTACAAAGTGAACAAAGGCTGAAGGGCCAGAACACAACTGATGCTGTTAGTTTCTTATTTCTTTAGAGACTGTTCCCCAGCTATCTCAATCTCAGGAAAATATTCACTAAATCCAAGCAGTGCAACACAACCTATAGCTGCACTGAGGACAAACTATGAACTGTCACTACAACACTGACCTTTTAAGAGATTTTTAGAAGCATTAAATGTAAAAAAAACCACCGGATTTTCTTGAGCAGAATCACAGAATTGCAGGGGTTGGAAGGGACCTCAAGAGACCACTGAGGCCAACCCCCCTGCTAAAGCAGGCTCCCTACAATAGGAACACAAGTAAGCATCCAGACAGGTCTTCAATATCTCCATTGAAGGAGGGCAGTGTGAGTATCAAATTAATTGACTTTAGACAGTTCTAGGGAAGATCAGGTAAGTTATTATCCATTATGCATTAATAACAGCTTTTCTTAGAGTTTATCCTTAAATACAAAAGTAGACTAGTCATATTCTAGCTAATCACGCCTGAAGGGAAAAAAATCAAAAACTTTTCCACATGTAAAAATTAAAAACAGAACTGCCAGAGCAATCATCAGAACTTGGCAGCTTGCTTCAGAAAGCCCTGTCAGTGAGTCAGTTTAGTTTGAGTGCTACTATGAGATGTGAATGAAGCTCTCAAAGTGCACCTCACCGAGACCTGCTTCTAGAACAAGTTCCAGCAAAATTCCCAAGATCATTTCAGCTGACCAAGAGATGATTACTTGCATGGTATTATTACTAACGTATGTTCAAGAGACAACTTTCAGTCAGGTATTATATGTTCAAGGGAAAATATAGCATAGTAAACCTATAGCCAAGTTAAACTGTGGCTCTGGTGAATAAGCAGTCACTACCAGGAACAGGCAGGAAGAACTGGAGCAAAGAGAAAACCTTTCTCAGATTTTTTCAAGGGCTGTAATTGTCAGTGTTACCATGGTCTCAAACCTGGCTGAGTCCTCTCCTATGCGAGCTCAACACTCTCCTACTAGGAGTGTCTCTGTTTTATTTTCTTGTGAGGACAGACTACTTCTCTCAGCTTTTTCAACAGTCTCCCTGATCTGCACCCAGGCCTCCAAGTGAAAACAGTCCGGAACAAGGAGTGTTGAATATCTATTATCACTTCCCAGAGAACTCTCCTTTATACATTTTTTGAGTGATTTAAAATAGTAATAATTAATTGACCCTATTTATTGTATATATACATAAAAATTACTTTAGCCATTTCTTGCTCCAATTGTAATCTTCTGTTAATTTTCTGCTGGTAGGTCTTTATGACATTTTCTACGTGTTGCTCCATGTAGAACTTGAAAGCAAATGGTGAGTAGCTCTTTATTCGGGATTCTCGCTTTTCCTCATCTTTGCCATTTTTTCGCACAGGCACTGGAGATGTCTGGATCTGCTTTTTATCCTTGCTTGGCTTTTCAGCTTTAGTGTTCTTGCTGTTTTTGTCGTTTCTCTCACTGTTCTCCTCAGCCTTATTGCACGTCGCACTGGGGACTACACGGAGGGTCTGCTCCACACCCATGCATAAGCAATTGATATCAAACTGCTCGGAGCTGCCGGGAATTAACAAATGCTTGGGATACGGTGGTGGTGGACACCGCAGCTCCTGGTTACCATAATCCACATCTAATTGATAGGCGTTGGCCGCTCCAACAGCTGGAACGTGCTGTTCAATGATCTCTAGTCCATCCACGGCCGGCGCCTGGGCAGGTAACCAACTAGGATGGGAAGGTCCCACTGCAGTCTGAGGCTCGGGTCTCATCACTCGCATGCTCTTCACTGGCTGGAGAATATGAGCAGATGTGACCGCTGTGATTGTATTTGGAGATGTAATTGAAGGATCGGGTTTTCCTGGAGGAACCTGTCTCATAGACACGGTCACTTGTGGTTGTTGCTGATGGTTGTTAAAGGAGTTTGTTCTGCTTGGCACCGAGGCATCAGGTCTGAAGGACACGTGTTGCCGTGGAGATGATTCTATTCCTGGGTTTTGTAAAGAATCTCGCCGTGAAGGCGCTGCTGCCTGCCACTGCTGAACTTGAGGATTATTCATGTCATAGAGGTCCATGTTCAGACTATTTCTAGATGGAGTTAATAGATTTTGTGGTGGGCTGTCTGCAAAATCATTACCAAACGCTGGACCTCTGGATATCACGTGCATTTGATGGGAGGGAGGACTTGTCTGTTTGTGATGAGAATGTGACATATACAGGCTTGCCGGTGCCTGCTGAAATGCATGACTGGTGTTATTTTGAACAACTGCCCCTTTATTTGGGAGATTGGCATAACCTCCCTCCTGCTGCATCTTGTTTTGAAAGGATGGACTCCTCTGAACACCATATCCCATGGGCTCCCCCTGCACCATCATGTGCTGCCTACTGTAATGCTGGCTGTTGGAGCCATGGGAGGCCTGCAGCTGCAAGGCTGGGCTGCTGTGATTAGACACGGGATAATTAATCACAGAAGACTCAATATTTGCAGGGTATGTTTTCTGCTGATGGCTTGTTGGAGTGCTGTGAGTGCCTACGCCAGAGGGTCGCTGTACAGGCGCATTCATAGCAGCAGACTGTGAAGCAGAGATTAAATAGTCCATGTATGGCCGTGGAACTTCAGTTAGCATATTTGCACCTTCTGCTGCAAAGCCTGTCCCTTCATAGGCTGCATTACTGATCTGATGGTAGGATGGAAAAGATTCACTCGATCCTTCGAAGCTTGGCCTGCGAGTTACGTTATTTGGCACAATACCCTTTCCTTTATAAAAAGAACACAGAAAAACATTAGGAAACAATTCAGGTGAAGCAATTACTTTGCATTACTCATCCACCTATCCATACACATGCACACAGCCTAGGGATTATGTGTTACAAAAAAAACCCTACCTCCCAAAACCTAAATTAAGCACTCTCAGCAATCAAAGTGATAGGTGCCAAGTATTACCACCAATAACAAGCTACTGGCTCACAACACTGATCATGCCAGGAATCATCAGGGAGTTCTACTAAATAATCAGAATAGAAGCACAAATTCCTTTACTGTGAAGTCATCAGATTACACTTCAGCCCGGTTTTTAAAGCTGGACCAGCTTTTACATTGCTGGTCGTTGCCCACAGACAGGAGGAAGCTACAGAGCAGAGGGGTATGTGCAGCACAAACAGGGACAAAAGCTCCCTGAAGCACTGTCAGTACTACTTGAAATCCACATTGCTTTAAGCTACCAGGTAATCAGCCCGCTTCCTTCTCTACAGTGAGCTCATTGCTCATGCTGGGGATCTGTTTGCATCTCTCTGTTCCACAATGCTCCTCAAACATCCTTGTTTTCTACTCCATTTACAACAAAGGTGTAACGCAGCTTATCCTATCTTCTTTCCAATGTGTCGGGCAAAGAACATCCCCTTAAATCACTCATTTTCCTGCTGTTCAGTGTGTCAACATGCTAATCTCAGCTTGAAGGACTGCAGAGACAAAATGCCAGCATTCCTGTGCTGGAAGTGTTAATAGCACTTTTCATCAGTTCTCTCATCCATGGACAAACTGTGGGTGCAGAAAAAGATAGAGAGATACTCTGAGCTGGCTTTTTGTTCCCGCTCTGGCTCTTTAGCTTTCACAAATTGTAGGACTTGGCCTATGTATACTTGAACAATTTCCTTTTAAAATCTTGATTTCACAAGGTCTGCAAGTGCAGTTGCACTGCATTAAGTCCAACAGGCTGGACTGCTGGATTGCAAGCTTATTTGCCTTACAGCATATCTCAGCTGGGCCAGGTGCATCACCCTTATGCACTGCTGTGAACTCCTCACCTGCATACACACAAACTCATAAGGACATGCAGAACATTAAGCAAGGCCTATGCATCATTTCTGCACACTGAAGAGGCTGTGCCCATACTAAATGACGCATCATAAACAATGCAATGTTTTGAAATGAAATGAAGTTGGACAAATTATCAACCTTCTTTCAAGTGTCATCTATTATCAGCAGCAGTTTTTCCTGCGATAACATAAGGGCACACTTCCAAGGCTGTACTTACAGCTACTCCCTGGAAGCTGATCTGCCAGAACACAAGGAGATGCACTGATAAGGCTGTGGCAATCCAAATAATCCTAAGAAGTGGCTGCTCTGGGCTGGATGTGGGAGGCAGCCACATGACCCTTTTGTCATCTCTGTCATCAGGAATCACTTGCAGCCTCAGGGACAAACTGACTTTGTTTTCTCATAGGCCACTGAGGAAAGCAGCAGCAATAACTGTCCTCTTATGGGACATATTCTTCAACTGCATAAAGAATCTTGCTAATGTAAGGAGAGGTATGAACTCCACCTCTGAAATTTGTAAACCAGTAAGTCTGTTCTGGTCTGTCTAAGGAATATTTGGAACTGTAAAGATACCAAATATACTGGTTGCTGTTGATTTTTTTTCCCCTGCACATTCCCAGCCAAAAAGGTTACAACCATCTCTTGCCTGTGAAGTGTTCTAAGTGTATTCTGTAAGATTCATTAACTGTACTCATGGCATCAACTCTTTTAACATATAGTCTCTGTCCAAAAGAAACATCTTTTAATTTTTAAGTCTTGATGGTATGCTAAAACTCATTAGCTCTATTATTAAAGTAGAACTAAAATGAGTAATGTGAAAAATCTATTTCCATATACCAATACAAGAAATTCAGAACTGTGAGTTTTACATTCCTGAATTGCAAATGGAAAGTTCCCAGGTAGCATTACATGCTCCCCAGTCATCTGCAGAGACCTGTGCTATCCTAGCACAAACAATGCAACATCAAACAGATCAGTATGGTTCTGTTGCACTGTAAGCAAGCAAACATTATTTGCATGATATTTAAGTTTTGCTTTCTATGTACCTAAAAGTAAAGGGAGATCTGCTCAAAAGGTGAAGGACTCAAAACATCTGCATGTATTAGAACGTTAAGAAAGCAAAACCAACAATGGAGTCATTAAAGCTTTTTTCCTGGAAAGACTTTTTAACCCTTTTAGAAGAGACGTATGTTATTTTTGACGTTTGCTGGTCAGGCACACGCAGGGCCCAAATCCTCTCATTTAGTTTATATGGGACAGAGCTGAAGCAGACTAGCAGGGATGAGTGAAAAGCCACCCTAGCCTGAGCTATTTCTGCAGTCTACTCACAAGGATGCCGACATGAATGACTTCCTGGGAAGTGAGATTCACAGCTCCACGGCCATTATCTATGTGCAAGCTTTTACCCCGTGGTAGACTCAAGATGATTGAGATGACTTGCACTGAAGGACAGACAGCTTTGTGTTTAGGAAGGAGCAGTAGGAATGTGCATGCAGATGGCTGCTGTGAAGCAGGTGAGCTATGCTCACCTTGCAGCCCAGCTGAGCATAACCATCATCTGCAACAGCAACAGGTTTACTCAAAACCTAGTTTATTGCAAGAAAGAACAGTTTAAAGAAAACTTCGTGCTTACCTGGTGAGGTCTGCTTAATTACACGTACTATCTGCTCATTTCTAGGATCCAAGTAGCCCATCTTACTGATGTATTCCAGAGCTGCTTCAATACTTCTGCTACCTGTCTGCTTCAGCGCCCGCACGGCCATTTCCTGTGTAAAGCAAATACAAACTGAATCACTCCAAGACGAAGCCCAAGCATTTTACTGCAAGCTAGAAAGCAGTCTTAAACTTACAGAAACTTTTTGTAATTGACACCTGGTAACAGCTGTCTGAAGCCAAACGGACTCACATTTTGAAAACACTTGCTTACCCTGTACAATTTAAAAATTAAAAGAACCCACCAATTTCAACCTACCCAAGTTCTAGATCTGGAAAAGTCAGCACAGTTTGACTTAGTGTGAGACAGAAGGAAATACTTGGCTTTTGGTAGTTGAAAGCACGTCTCTCTAACGCGCCAGCATCTCTCTATACAGTGAGTGCAATTCTGAACTTCCCCAAACACCACAAGAGTTAAGTAGGCAGGGACTGATCTGTGCTGGGCAAATCCTGGCCCCACTGGAGGCAATGGTCTTTGCAGTACTGCTCACTATCTATGTGGTAAAATACTAGCACATTAAGCTGTATTTCACATTATTGGCCTTTCTATCTGCATTTCAGTGGGCACACATTACTTTCAGTCTGAAAAATTAGTATGGGTGCCAGGCATAAAAATGAAACTGCGCAGAAGTAAATACTCCAGTTGAACTACTCCATCATAATCACTGTTAGTGTCCCTTGCTCTACAGCCAGGAAACCACTCTCCCGGTGTTTGTTTATACACTTACTTATGGCTCAGGTATATACAAAAGATTTCAACAGTGACTCTCCTCTGACTGCAAAGTAAAATTTGCAAATCCTTACATAGCTGCAAGGTATTTTCTGAAATGATGGAGAAAGTGAAATCCAGCATGAATTCATAGCATTGAACTTCAGCCATCAAAAAGTCAGATTAACTGTCTAAAGTAGTTGCCGAGAACTTCCAGGTACTTCCATAATTACTTCCAGAAGGCAATTCATAAGACAGAAACAACAGGAGATAAACTCATCTTTGGCGACAGACGATTAGAAGACTAATTTAAACCAGATAGTTAGCTCTTAGATAGCAGAATTTGCATGAAATAAATGTTATTGTCAAGGAATTGTCAGCAGAGCTTGCTACCTTGCCACCCTATTGCCATTTTAGGGGGCTTGTCTTTAGCATCTTTATTGATGACCTGGATGAAGGGACTGAGTGAACCCTCCGTATGTTTGCAGATGACACCAAGTTGGCAGGAAGTGTTGATCTGTCTGGAGGTAGGAAGGCCCTACAGAGGATCTGGACAGGCTGGATTGTTGGTCTGCGGCTAACAGAATGAGGTTCAACAAGAGCAAGTGCTGCGTCCTGCGCTTTGGCCACAGCAACTCCAGGCAATGTTAGAGGTTTGGGGTAGAATGGCTGGAAGACTGTGTTGAGGAAAGGGACCTGGAGGGTGTTGGTTGACTCTTGACTGAACATGAGCCAACAGTGTGACCAGGTGGCCAAGAAGGCCAACAGCATCCAGGCTTTTATCAGCAATAGTGCAGCCAGCAGGAGCAGGGAGGGGATCATCCCTCTGTACTCAGCTCTGGTGAGGCTGCACCTTGAGTACTGTGTTCAGTTTTGGACCCTTACTACAAGACAGACATCGAGGCCTTGGAGTGTGTCCAGCGAAGGGCAACAGAACTGTGAGGGGTTTGGAGTACAAATCCGGTGGGAAGCGGATGAGGGACATGGTTTAGTGGGGAAATACTGGTGGTAGGTGGATGGCTGGACAAGATGATCTTGAAGGTCTTTTCTAATCTTGGTGTTTCTATGGTTCTATGATTCTGCCATTGAGACCTGCCCATAGGCACTAAATCAGATGGAATTTGGCTTGCTGGCTGCAGATGTGCTGGCTGTGTTGGTGCAGCATGGCAAACACCCAGCTCTCCCACAGGGCAAGGCAATGTGTCAGATTGCAGGCAGGTAGCCCCAGCCCATGTGCCCCTTTCCACATCACCTGGAGCAAAGAGCTTTGCTTGGCTCAACTGCAAGTGCGTGTTACATTCACACTCACTGTTTACCTAGCAATGGAGGATGGTCTCAGATGACACTTAGCACAAAGCTACATGCTGGCACTTGGCATTTAATTTCACTTAGCTCAGTCTCCTGCTACTCCCCCCAGAATGGAAGTATTTTCTCCATTACTCAGAGGTTCTGCTGGGGGAATAGCTATAGCAAGTTTGAATATTTTTCATACAATTTATGAGTCATAAATCATAGAAAGGCAGTAGTGGGTTTCACATTTCCTATAGCTGAAATATTTCACTGGCATCAACACATTACTAAGTGCAATTTTAAAACAACAAAACTATTATGCATGAAGGAAAGAATTTCCCACAATGTTTTTTTCCCCTTTCTTTTTTCTTTTTCTGGATACATTTCTGAAGCATTAGCAAATTCGTATCTCAGTGCTCAGTAGTCTCACCATCAAGGGGCTCTGGCTGCTCACACACCGCCCTCTGACACTGGCTGGATCTGACCTTAGACACAAGACTTCAATTTCCCCAAAATCAAATGTGCTCAATACACAACAAGGTCTCCGAGCTGGATCTTGAGCTTTTTTGATTTTGTCTGCTATGGAGGATCAAGAGAACAAACATATGGTAAACAATTACCTTAACCATTAATAAAAGTCTACGTAACGCACTTCTCCCCATCTTAAATGTGATAAACAGAATTTAGAGAAGTTAAAGAACGTGGCCTTTTATCACCACCGTGATATCTCAAAAAACAAACCTTCCCTCCTATACTTGCACTACAGTTCTCATCTTTTGCCATTGCCACTGTCAGAGAACTAGCACCATTAAAATGATAACAGTTTGCTCACAGCTGTGTGTTCTACCTTTAGCAGGAATAACAGGGGATTCATATTTAAATCAATGGGAATAATGGGAGGGAAAAGCCCCGAACATTTCAGAACAGACTGTATGTTAACCTGGAAGAGTCAGCAAGAGCTTTGACTGGTGGATGTGTCAATGACAATCGCACCCTTGCAGCCCACTGTGTGAAAGCAGCCTGGTACCAGCTCTCCGCCTCTCATCTTCATGAGTCAGCTCCTGCTCTCAGAAGGGTTTCCTCAACACTGACCCTGTCTGCTCAGCATTTATATCGCTGCTGGAAAAATGTAAGGTTTCTTGTGGTTCAAAAGAACACCTGTATTCCCCAAATCCCATAGCTTTGGCCTTTTCCCCCACAGATACCATGAGACACACACAACCTCTGTTCATGAGGTCAGTTCCCAGAAGGCTTGCATCATCTCTAAGCACACAGGGGCCCAACAAACAAAAAATAAAGATTTCATGTAGAAAAGGAGAGGAAGCAGTGCAGAAAATGAATTAAATAGCACCAATAACTGCAATTATGGGAGGCTGGAGGTTGGGGATAGAGGTTGAAGTCAGATGGAAGGTGTTTGTAAGAAGGAGCAGAATGGGCTCAGGAAGGAGAGGAATCAATGCCGCAAGTTTGCAGACCGATACTGGAAACAACAGAAAGGCTGGCAAACAATGTGACAGACACTGGGCAGGGAGAAATGTGCACAGCTACACTGACACTACACTGACACAGCCAGAGCTGTCCCAGTGATATCACTGCAAGGTAAGTACATTTTAGAAACAGTAGGAAGAGAAGACCAGAAATGAGACATGAAAAAAAAAATCCATTTGGAACAGTATCGAATGCCAAAACATTCAAATAGGCACAGGACCAAATCCAACTCCCACTGAAGTCAACAAAGTTTTCCATTAACTGCAAGGTACACTGCTCTCTGTTTCTGCTCGTTTCCCTTTCAGCACGCCAAGTGCTGTCAGTTGCAGCAGTGCTGAGAAACCCAGCCCCTGGCTTCATTCTGCACACCCTGCAGCCAGCTGTCAGGGTCCAAGCACAAACACGAGCCCTGGCAGCGTGCGCCCAAATCACCAGGGAACAGAGCAGTCCCGGCCCCAGCTCATTCTTTGCATTCTGTGTATTCCCCTTGGAGCATTCAAACATGTCTCTGTGCAAGCCTTCACGCACCTTTTTGCCTCTAGACACTGCTGCTGGTGAGAAGAAGAAAGAATAGCTACAAAAGGAAAACGCACTGTTACAAACAACTAATAACTTCATAATTAATGTTACAACTGCGATATTAAAATGAGGTTTCAGTGGTTAGTTGTGGTTCAGGACAGACCTAATGGAAAACTAGCGTCAGGCCAAGAACCACAAAGTTACCAATGTAGTCTTTGTGGACTGGGGCAGCTCTGCAAAATTCCGTATTTGTGGGCTGAGAGAAAAATGGGAGAGGGGCTGCTTCTCAGCTAGAGCCTCCAGCAGCCACCCAAACCAGAGAGCTGCGTGCCAGTGTGCTCAGCAATTTCCCCATTTCTGTGTCCACAGAAAGCAGCTTGCCAAGCCGCTTCAGGATGTTGTTAGAAGGAAAGGCACCTTTCAGCTCGGATGCTCAACAGGGAAAATCCTTGTTTAATGGTAAACAGATATTTGGAAATGTGCACAAAGAGGCTGCACCTCTCTGTGCTCCACAGACAATGTGAAAGGCTTCCCCTGCTTTACCCTCCTGCCTGGCCTCGCTCACCAGCACTGGCAGCGGCGAGCGTTCTTGCTCTAGTACAGAGTAGTCCAGCAACATTTTTCATTCAGAAGGCTCCCAGTTGCCAAGATGTATTTATCATCCAAGTGAAGATTGCACAATAAGTAAGACCTTTTCCCAAGAACATTGTGTCTGAAGGAGACAATAGGTCCTCCAAAATTTGGCAAGGGCAATTAATTGCTAACAACAGCTAAAAATTAATTACCCACTTTCCATTCACAATGGAGGATGGGCAACAGATGCAGGAAACAGATACAGGTTCCCTCCGGAAGGCAGAAAAATCAGACTCATGCCAAAAGGCATGCTCCAGAATTGATTAGGAACCTTTCGGAGACAGTCCACCACTGTAAGAAATTTCATTCATGATTTGAAACGTGCGAAAACTAAGAAATTCAGGAAATAACGCGTACAATACGCTCTGATGGAATTACTGCAGCTCTACAGAGCAGAGAACTGTATTTTTTTAA